GCGCCGTGTTAATCTGTCTTCTGGACAGATAAATAGCTGCAAAAACACGAAAAATAGAGATTTTACGTTCACTCTTCCAGTTCAGCCAACGGAATACAGTCCCACTTCGGGGTGCTTTAAGAGCCAATTCGTTCTTTTCATCAGTCTAAAAATTGCCAATCTAAAATATGAACTCAGACTGCTTTAATTTAAACTCAGACTCAGACATAAATGTAAGATCTGATGCCATGAAGTGTCAAAGGATTATTTTTCAGAAACGTCATTTTCGTACACCCGTTGACCACAACTTATTATTAACTGCCAAGCCGACGCTGCGATGCCTAAGGAAACTGCAACGCCTGGAATCGAGGCTTGTGTTTTTAAAATTTTCGAGTGCGCATGATCAAAATTACGCCACATAGCTTGTATTACTAGTTGATGCAAGTGTTTAAAGATAATAATTTCAGAATCGTCATCATTTTTATCCACCGGTGGAACACGACTTAATATTAGCTGCTGGGCTAACGCTCCGCCGACTACGGAGAATGCAACGCCTGGTGTCGAGTTTTTGTTGCTAAGATTTCCAAGCGTGCATGTTAAAAACCTTTCATAAATTGTATCACTAATCGATTCTGACTGAATGATGAACATTTTCGGACAAACATGGGCTTGGCCATGTAATAGATATTGCTGACCACTCGATCTGCACTTAAATTTTCATCTTCAAATCTGGATCAAGGATATCGATCTACGATCTACCTTCGCAACGTCCTCAATGTCTGTAGGGCCTAGATAAAAAATCTGACAAAGGTTCTGAGTTCTATCGGTTCAGAAAGAGCCAACTAAAAATTAAATTAAGAGCAACGGTGGTTTCTTCCATGCAGTCGTTCAACGCCTGAATTCTGCAGTTCATTGACTTCAAAATACAGACAGAATTGAGCTCACGGTAGCTACTGGTTTCTGTTCTGGAAACGAGGTAAGAATAACAATAAAACGAAGAAAAATGTCTCACTTGTTAACAAGTAAGCCATATCCGGTAATTTTTTCGGGGGGGGGGGCACCACCATAAGATGGGCTTTTGTCAACCTTGTGTTCCCCTTGGCAAGGCTCTGGCTACGCCCCTGCCTACACATAAAAGCATATCAAATGGCATGCGCTGCATGATGGGCAATGAAGTGTCCGCTGGGTCAATTCATGCCTAAGGCAGACAGCTTTCCGGAGGCTATTTTTCTGCGACGGTGTGGTGTGAGGGAGATAATTAGTAAACAGATACTGTTTATACTGATAAAGATGCTGAGAATCTAACACGTGTTTCATACACCATGTAGCAGTAACGCTGGTCCAAAAGTATGCAAAAAAGCAGCCATACGATCAGTTCGCAATCAATCATGCGGAAGACATCCCGGCCAGGGCAGTGGCCACTGACGACGGACGGAAGCTGGGCCCAGATGAGGAACATATGACAGATTGGCCTTATTATGTGACTTATTTTGTGGCTTTATGGCTTTTGTCACATTGTTTCTAGCAGTTTGAAGCGTCCGAATTTGTTTCTATCTAAAATTCTGCTACAAGTCGGATCCCTTGAAAACCAGCCAGCGAAATGAAGACGCATCAAAAATCTGTCGCACTGTGAGCCATTGATCCACTTTCAAAATTCTCACCAGCCTATATCCAGACTTTTTTGGCATCTGTGGAGGCAGATGCTTCCTTAGTGACCCCAGATGCCTACTCGCTCGTGGAATTTCGCCTCCCCAAGAAAGACAATGTTAAAATGGACGAATAATCTAGGGAGGCTGGATAGCCTTATTGTAAAAGGACAGATTAGTCGAATAGGCAAGATAGTGCACCAATGATAAGCAGCTCTAGATGCATATCGAGCGTAGCAACCATGACATTTGAATAAAGAGCGACAACAACCTCCACCCCTAACCCCTCCCCGGTCATCGGCTCGCTTTCCAGAAAAAGTTCCTGAGCACACCCTGAGTTTGGCCCCCCACTTTTTGAAACGTTCCTACGCTTATGACCAGATATGTGGAACTGAGCTCAACTATAGCTAATGCCCTTCCTTTTAAGGTGAAAAGGCGCTCTAGGCAATACAATTTATCCTTTTAGTAAAGATGCTCCCTCAATGTGTTATTGCTTTTATTGCGTCATCTTGCCTTGTACAGCATTGGTTGAGGGCCAATTGACGGCCGTTATATCTTACAAATCGTGCTGACAAACGCCAAATATGAATGACGCGACCAGTATATTTGTTTCTGTCTTAATCGGTGCGTGGCCGATGGAATAGCGGGATTTGAATGGCATTATTGTGGTGTCATGGATGCCTGAGTGCACTTGCAGAAATCTGCACGAAATAGTCTGCTCATCTTTGTGGACGTATAGCTCAGAAACTAAAGGGGTTCAGCTCTAAAGAATGGCAGAGCTGTGAACTGCATCGAATGATCTTCAAGATGGCTTTTTTATTTCAAATCCTTATACAAATGCGGAACACGTTCTTTTGACACGCCCGGGTAAATAACATTCGCTCGTGTAGAGGATCAATTTGCTCCCCCCCCCCTCCCAGATCTCAACAAGTGAGAGAGCTTAAGATACCAAATTAAGATAGTTGATTGGCCTCTATCTAAGCCCAGTTGTGTCAAGCCTTGAGTTCCTAGGTCATGATCTTTGCATTAGGCGAGGTCAAACAAGGTGAAAATAAAAAGGCTCAAAGGTCCTGCCCTTCCTTAATCTGTGTTGCTATCTGTCGTGCCGTAGGACGGGAAGAGGACACACAATTATGTTCTTCTCTCCACTCCAACTCTTCCCAGCCCTGCCCGGCACTCTGCCTTCTTATTGTCTTCGGTTGTCCTTTCTGTTCTATGTACCAGCTCTGTGCTGTCCTCGGTGCAGTCTTTTCCTCCGCCCCATTTGTTGTCTTTTTTAGGACCCGTTCACTGCTTAGGTCATATCACGTCTCGGACTGTCCTTCACCCTATCCCCTGCCTTACTCCTGTGATAACGCCTTCGCCCCCAATCACATCCAGCATCTTTCCTTTGTGATGTATTCTGTCCTGCCCTCTATACCGTCCCCGTCCCGTGTTCTGTTCTGTCCCCCCTTTACAGTCCTGTGCTGTTCTGTCCGGTCCCGTCTTGGACGCGGTACAGGACGATCCCACTTCTGATGTCCTGCATTTGGTCATGTCGCTTTAAGGGCAGGAAATACCGCATTACCATGCTCCTGTGAGGCTTAGTTGAGACTGACAGTGATGACGTTAGGAGCCAACCGGTCGATTTATCTAATGTAAAGGGCGTTTCCAGAACCGTTGAACTTTGCGTGCTGAAACCGAAATTTTGTTCGGTCAAAGCTTCCACAGGCGGTTCCCGGTGGAAGCGCATCAAGTGTGTCGGAGGATTCCATGCGCCGCATTTCCAGGGTCGTGACTCATTGCTCGTAGCCGCGGGCCATGAAGGCCAAACACACCGTCTGAAAACTTCATACTAAAATCACCCAAGTCAAATGCGACGCACATGAAATACATCACAAGACATCCTAAATGTGATGCTGGATGGTCCCTTTCAGGCATGACGCATCAAATGCCTTATCGATTCAGAACAAACCCTAGTCAGGGATGTAGCCGGACTACGACGGATCCACCGTCTGAGCTCCGAGCCGTCTGACTAAGGCGGCAGGCTGAGGCCCAGCCGCTTACTGAGGCAGACATCAGCTGAGCGCACAGCCCACCCGACTACCCCCTGACCTGATCAGCCTGCCGCTGCCGTTCGCATTGGTCCGCACTGCAGCACTATCGGCGCTGGCAGCCGACCCCGAACACGTGCTGCTGAGTCTCATAGCGAGCGCCTGGCGCCGACGTCCGCGATGGCTGGCACAGCTGCCACGTACGGCTGACAGCCGATCCCGAACAGACTCCTCCGCACGCCTTATCCGCGCCGTCAGCGTTCGCAGCGAACGGCGCGAAGTGCCCACGCCGGCAGCTGACAGCCGATCCCGAACAGACCCCACCGCACGCCTCATCCGCGCCGCCGGCGTTCGTAGCGAACGGCGCTAAGTGCCCATGCCGGCAGCTGACAGCCGATCCCGAACACGTCCTCGCCGTCGACCAGCTGCCGCGTGAGGCGGGACGCTCCAGCCACGCGCGCTCACTTGCGCGTCATCAGGTACATGTTCTCCTGCAGGCCACGAACGTCCCACGCGGCCAAGGGGCGGATGGCGTCCGGCGCCCGGTCCCTCACGGCCAGACACTCGATATCCGCCACCGGCTCTGAAACGGCGATCCAATCAGGATACTGATTGTGCAGTTTTGTCGTGATGTGTACAACGCCAAGACATCCAGCGCAGGGTTGTGCTCAGGGCGTGGCTTGGTCCCATTGTGAGCATGCCACGCGGCACGCCTGATGACGGCTGCTCTCCAAGGGTTCAAGGGAGGCATGCCCTGCTCCCCTCATCCTCCGTCCACGCATAAGCAGTGATACAATGCGGCTGTCACAAGGTGGCGGTAGATCGACGGCGCAGCGAAGACAATAGCCGCGACTGGTCCTGATAATAATCGCAACGAGCATGTAAAACATCTTGAGCAACATCACTTGACCCAGGGAGGGACGTGAAAAAACAGTTTTGCAACGAACTGGCCAATGTGGAAGCATGCCCCTCCCAGGTAAAGTTAGTTCCATACGCGTTCGCAAAACAGTTATGATAAACGGACAGCGGTCTCTGATTTACTGCACTTGATTTAACCACATCCAACCACAAGCATATCGACACGCCACTCACGACACACTGCACGTCCGCAACACGCACCGCGCGCGGGCTCGACGTACCGCTCGTGATCACTTAGCTACTGAACAACCGTGCAGAGAACGAGGTCACAGCAACTAAAACTGGCACTCCACTCATCAGCGGCCGAGACGGGTGCGACGCACGAGGCCTCGCGCCGCCGACTGACCAAACTCGGGACGGAAGTCGGCGGGCGTCATGCTCTGCGGCGTGCCCGAGAACGGGTTCGGCTCGTACTCGACCGAGCTCAAGAGGTACCGCAGCCGGGGGCCATCATGGCGAGAAGGAACGCCGCGTACCTGCGCGGCGAGAGGGGCGCGCCGTTCAGGCCGGCGGGACAGGGCGCACCCGCGGCGCAATCGTCTACGAAACCTAACACGGAGGCATTTGATGCAAGCAATGTTCAGCAAGCTACACGTGTGGCGCCGACTGAACGTAACACTATGATGCATTACAACCAGGTTACTATAACATTGCATCATTACGATAGACGATGCTATGATGCTCCAATACGTGAAAACGCATGGTGGCTTTCAACATGTTCACAATTCTACTGAGTCGCATGTACAAACAACACCTGAATCATATATGCGGGTCACAAAAAGAGGCAATCACCTGGAAATTAATCCGTTTTTACTTGACGACGTCGAGCCGGAAGCACGCCGTCTCCGAGCCAGCCTCACCGCGGTCGGTCCTCGCGGCGTACTGCCACGTACGAGGCACAGTCCCAGATGGCGCCCACGGCGCCCACAGTTTCCGGATCCAGCCGGCAGATGTCGGCATGGTACACCCGCAGCCGGCCGTCCGGCGTTTGAGAGAGGGGGACGGGGAGGGTGTAACGTACTGCGACTTCTCGACGGGTGAGCGTCGGCATAGGGTTCTGAACAACAGGGAAGAGGGCGGGCCCGTCTCCCATCTCAGGCCCGCTCCCCCTCCCCCACATTTTGGACAGCTCCGTCGTGAAAACAAGGCCAGTCAAATGTGTGGAGAAAAATGAAACGCAGTAATTGAAGTACTTCTCGGGACGCGCTGCTCGTTCAGTTCACTCGATTTAATTCGAAAATTGAAGTATGTGGTGATGAGGTGCATGACAGCCCACAGATCAGGAGGCCATGACGGTGAGAGCCGATAGAATGGGAGGCAGATGCTTATGATCGTCGTATGTTGTTAGGGACAGCAAGCACATTACGCTTTTTCGTAATCAGCGTAAACGGCTTTGTGGAATTTGCCTTATCAAGTTGTCCACCTGAAATAAAAATGCACTGCAAAGTCATATTACCTCAAATCAGCTAGGAGACTCATTATGTAACGACAGAGCAAATGCCTCATGAAAGTGTTTCCAATTGCATGCAAAAGACGACAGGCATCCACCACATTTATGTGTGCACATCTGAGTGCGCTATGGGGTTTTCATCCAGCCCTGGGCGGTAGGCAGTTGATAATGCGCTGATGATAAAAAGATGTGTGCGGAAAGGTGTGCGGCGTACGGGGGGGCGGCAGCCGACGAAGCCGCCGACTATGGGCGGTGGGCCTATACTGTTACATTAACGGAACTATACGTCATAACTGTATGCTCAAAACACACAAAGCTGCATGTTTCGGCGTTTAAAAATTGCAAAGATGCGTCTTTTTAAGTTCCATGTTGTTTTATGGCAACGTTTTGTAAACATGGGCATGTAAAACTAAAATAGTTCGATCTTCGGGTAAAATTGAATCAAACTGAACTTGATTTTGTGAAGCATTGACCTTTAACCCCGCCTCGTGGGGTCACTTATTGAGAGCAGCTTAAAAGCTTATCACCAATCGTGTGATCCCGTTTAGACCAACCCACCGTTTCTTTACCACTACGCCCTATCCTTCGTAGCTTAGGAACGGCAGAGAAACGGGGGGGGGGGGGGGGGGGGTCACATCGACGTCACTCCCCTTTTAAAAACCGCATAATGAAAAACAAGAACCGGGCGAGGGTTACGTCAATAGATGAACTGTGAAATAGTCCTTTTTGGACATACCACAGCAAAAATGAAACAGATGTTTTCTTGGAAAGATTATCAAAAGATAAAGAATGAAAGATGTGTAAAATGTTAAAATTGCATGGCGCCCTTACTTCACTATCTTGAGGCATGAACTAAAGCATATCGAATATTTTTTGGGCATCTAAAAGCGTTTGAACGCTTGCTTCGCTGCACTAATGAAAAACGTACACATTTTAATTATGTATCTTTTGCAGCTAGATTCATGCTCTACCTGGTCCATGGGCCTAGATATGGCGCAAAATGTGAACAACGATCGGTAACGGTCAAATCCATCCTGCTGGCTCGTACACACGTCGCACGCGGCATATGCTACATTGCAATCTACACCACGTGATGGTCTGTCGACTCTCTACCAATACATGCCATTCTCGAGTTCGTCCGTGCTCTGGGTACACACATGTGGCAAAAAGACATGTAAACTCTTCGAAAAGGACGAAGTCCACCTTGCCAGTTCGTGTGAGGGCTACACGTGGCCCATGCAACTGAAAACTTGGTAGCACACAATAGCCAGTTCCTTTCCGTTCTGACGTATGACACTTCCGAATCCAATGGTGTACCAATGGTGCAGAATATCTCGACAGTTTATCACAGAGAACAGCAGACAACAAATGTTGACCCATGAACCGCCGCATCGCAATCCTGCATTCCGTTGCGCTTTTTCACGTGGGGACACTTCTGGCGAGTTCTGAAATGATGCTTAAGGTTGCTGAAACGCTGAGCGCGTGTTAACAAGCTTCACATTTCCCACTGCACTGGGCTTACGGTCGATAAAGCACATCAGTGATTTGTTCAGGACTTAGCACGAGGGCCAGATGTCATTTAAAGACATCTTGGGTAACGAGAATTACAGATCACATGTGGGCCTCGTCCACTGTTCCGCAAACCCACTGCAATCATTTACAGTCAGGAAGAAAATGCAACACCGAAGTGTTTAAGAGTTTGTCACAGACGACAGATGATAAAAATATGGACGTGGCCAACTGAGCACATTGCGTACAATAGCGAGATGCATGCCGATGTAACAAAATTGCCAAGAGCGCACCTAACGGCGGTGTATGTGTTGTGGCAAAAACACCTACGTTCTTTGTACGGTCTTGATTTGGTTTCATTGCATTCCTATCACTGTCATATTCGCCCTCCAGTTCGTCAAGCTGCAAGGCCTGATACATTTCCACCTCTTCTCCGACAATTTGCCCAACTGTCTTTGGCAGCGGCTTTCCCATTGTCTCCGGCAGCAGCAGGTCCAGCAGCGCCGATGATGTGATGAGCGCTCCAAACACGAAGAAATGAAGATCTTTCCTCACCATATTCTGCGAAGGAGTGGGAAAAGTATGGCCAGGAATTCACGGTGCCTGAAGGGATGAGGCCGGGCAAAATACGTTTACATTTAACAATCCTTTGTATTTCATGTGAACGCCTTTTAAAAAACCACCCACAATCTCTTCAGACCCGTTCCGAATTAGATTTCCAGCGCATTTGGTTGATCCTGGGTCTGTCCTCGAAAGCACAGCTCTGAGTTGACTTTGATTCCAACTCAGGAAGTGTGACTCATGTCTGGAATCGGTCCTAAGGAAGCCGAATGCGGTAACAACAGATGACTTGATGAACCGCTCTATGGGTTACGTAAACACGTGTGTTGAAAATCACACGAGAACACCATGTCGTATGGTCCATTCGCTGCAAGGTTGAAGGCTGTGAGAGCAATAATATCGTTTGTTACAGTTAGGTTATTTATGTAATGTTTATGTTACATGTATGTTATTGTATGCTAATTCACGTATGTTGTTCTATGAATGCAATCATCACCGATTACAGCCACATTTGATTTGAACAAGAGTAAAACTCATACTAGTTTTCGAGACAACGATGGATTCCAACTACACATTGGTTTTCCAAAAATACACCTCTGAATGTATTTTATTTCATTGTACTAAGCCATTGATATCGGCAGAACTGGAAAGCCCAGATAAGAATTCTTACGATGAAAATTAAATGCAATTATTTTGCCCGTCCATGGTATCGATGGGAGGATGTCTTTCCGGCGTGTTCTGTAATCGTGCCTGATTTTTTGTTAGCTTCCGGGGAATTTGTTGTGAATGACTTGATATCAAAACCATGTCTCTAGTTTTTAGGGTTATGAGGAGCGACGGTTTTTAGGTACACTGCACGACAACCCACGGCGTGCGCAGACGGCGGGCGGCAGCCGACGAAGCCGCCAATTGCGCGCGGTGGGCCTATACTGTTACATTAGCGGTGCCATGCTTCATATGCATGTTGCGGTGTTGAAAATTACATAGATGCGCCTTTTTACGTTCGATGTTGTTTTGTGGCATCGTTTTGTAAACACGGGCATGTAAAACTAAAGTAGTTCGATTTTCGGGTAAATTTAAGTAAAGTGAAAGTCCTTTTGCAAAGCATTGACCTTTAACCTCGCCTCCTGGGGTCAATTATTGAGAGCAGCGTAAAGCTAAAGCTTCGTCCGTGCTCTGGGTACAGACATGCGGCAACAAGACGTGTAAACTCGTCGAAAAGGGCGAAGTCCACCTTGCCAGCTCGCGTGAGGGCTACATGTGGCCCATGTAACTGAAAACGCGGTGCCACTCAATAGCCAGTTCTTTTCGGTTCTGACGTATGACACTGCCTAATCCAATGGTGTATCAATGGTGCAGTACAACTCGACAGTTTATCACAGAGAACAGCAAACAATAAATGTTGACCCATGAACCGCCGCATGGCAATCCCGCATTCCGTTGCGCTTTCCACGTGGGGACACTTCATGCGAGTTCTGAAATGACGCTTAAACTTGCTGAATCGCTGAGCGCGTGTTAACAAGCTTCATATTCCCCAGTGCACTGAGCTTACAGCCGATAAAGCATATTTTTGATTTGTTCAGGACTTCACACAAGGGCCAGATGTCATTTAAAGCCGTCTTGGGTAACGAGAAGTATGGATCACATGTGGGCCTTGTCCACTGTTCCGCACACCCACTGCAATCATTTACAGTCAGGAAGAAAATGCAGCACCGAAGAGTTTAAAAGTTGGACACAGACGACAGATCATAACAAATATGGATGTTGCCAACTGAGCACATTGCTTGCAACAGCGAAATGCATGCCGATGCAACACAATTTCCAAGAGCACACCTAACGGCGGTATATGTGTTGTGGCAAAAACACCTACGTTCTTCGTTCAGTCTTGATTTGGTTTCATTGCATTCCTATCGCTGCCATAATCGTCTTCCAGTTCGTCGGGCTTCAAGGCTTGATACATTTCGACGTCTTCTCCAACCATTTCCCCAACTGTCTTTGGCAGCGGCTTTCCCACCGTCTCAGGCAGCAGCAGGTCCAGCAGCGCCGATGATGCGATGAGCACTCCAAACACGAAGAAAACCAGATCTTTCCTCACCATTTTCTGCGAATGGGTAGGAAAAGTATGGTAAAAAATTCACGGCACCTTAAGGGATGAAGCCGGGAAAAATACGTTTACATTTAACGATCTTTTGTATTTCAAGTGAACGCCGTGTAAAAGAAACCACTCACTTCTCTTCAGACCTGTTCCGAATTAGATTTCCAGCGCGTTTGGTTGATTTCGGACCCGAACCCGAAAAGCACAGCTCTGAGTTGACTTTGATTCCAACTCAGGAAGTGTGACTCATGTCTGGAATCGGTCCTAAGGAAGCCGAATGCGGTAACAACAGATGACTTGATAAACCGCTCTATGGGTAACGTAAACACGTATGTTGAAAATCACACGAGAACACCATGTTGTGTCGTCCATTCGCTGCAAAGTTGAAGGCCGTGAGAACGATAATATCGTTTGTTACATTTATGTTTGAGTCCATTCATCACAGATTCCAGCCACATTTGATTTGAACAAGAGAAAAAAACTGTACTAGTTTTCGAGACAACGATGGACTCCAATTGCTTTTTCTCTTGCCAAAAAGACATCCCTGAACGTATTTCATTTGGTTCGACTAACCCATTGATATCGGAAGAAACGGCAAGTCCAGATATGGATTGTTGCGATGAAAATGTATTACAACTGTTTTTCCCGTCCATGGCATCGATGACTGCATGCGCTGTACGGGTGCAAACCAACGCTCGTTAAGGGAAAAAATTGCACCAATCAGCACAACGGAAATAATCAGCACGTGTGGCATTTAATGGCGCGTCCGAGACAAACTAACGCTGCACGGAAAATCACGTTCCCATAGCCTGTTGACCATCGGCTATTGCTCTCATGGCAAGTTTCCTCACTTTATTGGCGGTAAATGACATCACGTAAGGTCAGTTTGGTGGAAAAAGTAACGGCAAAAAACGACGCGACCGCGAAAAATGTGCCCTCATCATGAGCAAAGAATGCGTTGAGCACCGAGGCCGAATACACGATCGCGCTGGAAGTCAATCAGTACATAAATCTTGAAAAGAGTATGATTCGATATTACCGTGATCTGTGCAAGTGCCCAAGTGTATTAGCTTCTCGGTTTTCACTTGGACGATTATGTACTAATTATGAGACCTATTCAGTGTCCGTGGTGCAAACTGTACCGGCAATTGCGCCATTGTGGGATAGGTCTCTGTGACAAGCAGGTTAGTACCAGTCAGAGGCTGATGAGGCCTCTCAGGTGCTAAAGACACTCATTTCACCAATGTGACGAACTGCACAATGGCGGGACGGGATCATATGCACTTAAAAAGTGCATACGATCTGAGCCAGTCATGTGATAAGTGCAGTCACTGACATCAACGATTAAAACACACAGCTTTCACAAAAGATTCGTCTCGCAGGATGTATTAGCCGTTCTCAGCCCGGTTAACGTAGCAGACGGGTAGCCGTCCACATCAAATACTCACAGCAGATGTGCGCAGATGCGACCAACGTGTAGTATCGTTCAGATGCAGATATCAGAGAAACTACTCACCAGCAGCGCTACAAAGGGATAGGCTATCCCAGCCATCCGCCCGCAGAAGTTGACGATGCCGAAGCCTGTGTTACGAACCGATGTGGAGAAAATCTCGCCCGTGAATATGTAGGTTACGGTGAACGTGGTAGCTATGCACAGCTTCCCTGCAAACCAGGACGACTGGGATGAGCAGGACACCGATTTGTTCAGTCGCAGTTTCTGTCATGATTTCATTATGCCCCAGCGAACGCATGGCCGTAGGAAGAAACATACTATTCCATTTAATCGCGTATGGAGGAATATTCCATTAGCCTCCTACAGTCATGGGAAGACAGGTGAAACTGATCGATCAGACTGAATGTGAGACCTGCCTATCAGAACAGACCAGGGGTGGACGGCCTATTAGATTGAGTGTCAGACATGCTTCTCTCAGCACATGGCAGGGGTAACTGACCTATCAGACTGAGCGTCAGCCTGCCTCCCTGATCGTCAATGTAAGAGCCAGGCAGCAGCAAGATCAGGACGCAGCTGATGCCTCCGGCCAGCATCACGCCGCTGATCGTGTACCGTCTGCCCAGTCTGCGGCAGAGACCGTAGTCAGTGCCGCCGCCATACCGCCTAAAAGATCATCCGTGGCAGGACACGAGTTTCTCAGGTGTTCGCAGTCAGCTGTTGACAGGCTCGATCTCGGTAAGGTGTAATCGCGCAAACAGTTGGTCAGGGGCGTTCAATGCTGAGAGGCGGAATGTTCCTACTGCATGATGTATCGCTACCCTTCAATGCGGTCGCGACGTAGGCCAGAGTGTGAAACTTGTTCTAACTTGAAGCTCTCATATGTCTTCGACAGTGTTTAAGATGGGCATACATTGCAGCGGCACGCCTACAACATGTAGAATACACCTAACGGAGGAGAAAAAACTACATAAAACAGCGATGTGTTAAATGCATGAACGATGAACATAAGCCAACGCACGGTTCTCAAAATACAAACACGTGGACATCATGAACACATGAACACTGCCCCTTCGAGCCTGCCCCGAGAGTTTCAGTCAGCCTTGCTGTAAAAACGAGTAGCACAGGATACCACGACGATAGGGAATGGAAACTTTATTGGACAGCTAGTTTGGCTTCCGGGTACGGATGTGTATATACCAGTCGAGGCAAACGGCGGCACGTTCTCAATCTGCTCCTGCAATGGTACGTCGACGTGACGTTCCAGTAAACAGCAGCTATGACTAGAGCACAGCCCTGCGCGCAGAACGGCTGTAAAGAGCCTAGGTCCAAAGCCCCCGCGCAAGGGCGAAACATCGATGCCGCCCAGTACTCACTTGTCCAGCATGCCAGGAAATGACGATCATGGGCGGAATATCCACGAGGCCCGAGACGGCGAACGAGATGAATCGGTTT